CAGTTCTCTTGTGCTTAAAAAAAATCGTGGAACGAAAAGGAAACCAGCTAGCATTATAAAAAGAAAACAAACAAAACAAAAAAACCTATATAAGTAGTTAAGATTTGTGTTTCCTTCCTTTCAAACATTTTTTTTTCTTTAAATTGCATCAGAGGGGTTTGGGATTTAGACTGAACACGCGGGTTGTGAAAAAAGAATGCATGGCATGGAAAAACTGAACGAACCACATAAAAGGCAAAATGAGAGAAAGAGCCAGATGCGACACGAATTGACAAGGGAAACGGGAGGCCTGGCTCTAGATTTAAAGACCTAGAGGTGGGGCAGTGGTGAAAAACACACTATAAACATTGCCTATGGTATGGAAAAGATGGGGAGTTTTTTTGTTTTTCCAGTCCAGTCTGTGGACTGCAACTTTTACCAGCCACTTGCATAATTACACATACATCACCATGTAATCAGGCACCATATTTATATATAAAGAAAAAGAAGAAAATAAGTAAGAAATTCTGAAATACTTCTACAATTGTATATTAAAGGAGTCATTAGTTGCAAGCAGGAAGACAGCAGTACAGTCACTGTCAATTTTAGCTCATTTGTTAATGATACCATATACATCCAAATTAGATGCTTTGACGAGTACTTCTATGTGACATTTTCAAGCAGTTAACAGTACTGCATGGATCCCGTCATCATTACATTATTTTTATCGACAGCATTTGAAACACACGTCTTATCTGACTAGATTTGCAGTGGTCTTGAACCAGAGACTTCTCACCTTAAAAGCACAACTGTTTGGAAATAAAAATAATAAAACAGTTCACACAATAAATCTTTACAAGACAGTAGTATTCTTCGCAAATTGAGCGGAGAAGCAATTACTTTATCACTCTCTCTGTAGCTTTTAGCTACGTAACCAAAAGAGCCCCAAAGTAAGAGTCTGCCCCCCCCCCCTTTTTTTTTAAGAAAAAGATTTTTCCTGGACATAAGAAGAACATTTAACAGCCATCCTCTTTTCTGAAAATATACATAAAATTTACAATACTCTATTTAGCAATGTTTCTGTTTCTCAGAATTTCTTTATCTTCCCCCCCTTTAAAAGAAGCTTAATTTGTTTATTTTTATACAAATCTACTTTCTTAACACTCTTTAGCTACTTTAGATTAATCTCTACCCAAGTTTACTGATGTTACTTTATTTCTTAATCCAAAATACTTAATCTGACTATAATACTGAGTTGGCTTTCTCATTTTCACTCAGTATTCAGACCTCAAGTTCACAGTTTCACAAGCCTTAGTGGAGATTTAGGTGCACAACTACAAGACATCTTTAACAATCAAAATACCCACAGTTAACAGTTATGGAAAACAGCATTGCCATAATTGTCTTGAAGAGGAACGACCGCACGTTTTCTTGCTTGGAGCTCGATATACCCTGCTCTTCCCACACCCCAACAGCCTTCACTCTTCAGTTTCACCTTTTCTGCAAATGGCAATACACTGCCTCATCCTTAAGCCTTTAAGTGATTTCCATAAGGACAGAGAGAAGATGTATGTAATAATTCTAAATGTTGTTTTCCCTTTTAATCTTTAGTTTAGCAAAACTCTTAGGCAAATAACTCGAGCTAAAACAATCACAAGCCCCCAAGCACTATGCTAACTTGGAACCAACATCTTTGTCTCGTTGTTGAAATGCCTCTCCTTGTTGCAGATCCATTTAAAAAACAGTTTCTCTTCTCCTCACCTTTCTTCCTCCAAACATACCCCTCTATCTGAAGTTACCATTTGAACTACATCAGCATTGCACTAACTCATCGATTTAAAGACCAATTTGGCTATTGCAGAACATCTGTACAAGTCACACGTGCATGCCAAATGCCATTTCAATTAGACATCATTTCAATGAGCCTGGCACCACTCCACAGAGTTTCCCGACAGGATGAAAAGGTAGCAAGATCACCATAAAATAATCATCCTCATACTGTCCTAGAGCTTTTGTTAACAACAGTTGTTCTGCTTCCAAAAGTAGGTACTATTCACATTTCTAATCAAATCCTTAAGAATTATGTTCACAATGTGCAGAAAACATCCTTTCACATTTTTAAAATTGGCTAAACTGAATTTTGCTTAGACAGGTAATTCTGTAAAAATGACCTACTCGACTCAGCGAACTTTCAAATCTTTCTTGCTTACGAAAGGCCAGCTTTTCTTCATGAGATTTCAGGCATCCCTACAGAGAACAAAATTTCACAGATACTTCTGCTCAAGTCAGCTACACTGCATCTATTAAATGCTACCTATAGATACTACACAGCATTCAGATTATAGCCATCACTAGCTTCTCACGATGCTTTTGATTACTATGTACAGCAAGTATTTATTTGCAAATATGCTCTGTTAGTACTCTTGTTTTTTAAAAAAATAAACCCTTCGCTGTTCAGTCATATGAACACAGCAGTAATTTAAAATTGTCACTCAGCGCTAGCTTTGAAGTTTTTGTAAATATGTTTAAATGTATATAAGACATATGCAGTTAAAGTAGTAGAATCTTCATGCAAATGTAAATGTTGCAAAAAGAACAGTTAAAAAGATAATAATTACAAGAGGAATTTTGTAATGAATCAACTTTTCCGGGAAAAAATTTTGGAGTGCTAGACTTAGTTTCTTCTGACGTAAACTGCTTTACGAAAAGTAACATTTAGCCTGCACTTACAACATACACAACTGGTGCATTTCCTAATGCACTACGAAAACCCTCTTCTCACTAAGCCAAAGTTTCTTTGCAGATAAGCAGCAGTGAATGATTACGTTTACATTTCACCTTTAAATGCTGCAATGTTACAGAACAAGCGTAATTCTATTCTGACACATAATCTCCAACAAAATCACTAGCCAAATTTCAACTTGTTAGTAATTTTGGCAATAGAAAAAAAAATAAAGGCGGGGGGGAAAGCAAGCTTTAATAAGTCTCTGGCCTAAGTTTACACATCTTCGTCATTTTAGCGCGTTCCAAACTGGGCAAAGACGATAAGAAATGTCTGCCACTATTGTGGCTGAAGTTACATATTTTTTAAAAAGTATTTTTGCACGCTTTTCCATTTCTTTCTCCTAAATTAGAATCTTTAATTGTTTTAAAATTTCAGAACGGAATAGTTGTAGACACCTCATGGAACATTTTACTGTCAAAGACTTCCCCATATGGTGTTTAACTTTTTATTTCCTTCCTCAGGTAAACAAAGGGGATTTTTTTTTTTTAACTTAAGAAATAAAACCCTCCGTAACAAGAAATACAGCCCTTTTGAAGTAATAATCTCAAAAGCAATCAAGTGACATCGCATTAGCTCTCTAAGTTAAAGACACTCAAGACACCACACAAAGCTTTTCAGTCCCACCTCCTAAAGCATTGCAAATGTGCTTTCTGAAGGACTCTGCTGGCCTTAAATATTCACATTTTAATGGGCTGAGAGTAGGTATGGTACACCCTGCACAAATAACACACCCTTCTGAAGAAGCTTTACAGTTACCATAAATAAGCACCCTGCAGATTCTCAATTTGCTCGTTAATGGAGACAAACATAGAATGATCTGTTAATTTTTATAAATCACATCAAAAACCTGAATGTTTCAAACCCTTAAAAAAAATACAACAGCAACAAAAAAGAAAAACACAACGCCAATGAAGGAATCGTAAGAGGTGAAGCTTGTACTAAAAGTACTGGGAAAACTCTTCACTGAAACACATCTAAGAACCAAACTTATAAAGAGTGGACCTACAGCTGCTGGATTTACACAAGGGCCAAGCTCTCTTGTAACAATTAAACTGCCTTAACACTATTGTATAGTTTTCTTAAAGAGACCAAGGATCCAAGTCACCACTTGCTAGGTAAACACTCTTCTCTAGGTGCAGTAAGAACAGTATTTCCTAACTCAGAGAAAGTTTCTTGAGCAAAGCACACGACTGCTATCCACCCCAACTCATGCATCCATAGCCTTTTATTTTGCCAGCTAGGAATAACTTTGAATCAGCACAAGCACCACCTAATGCCATGTACACAAGCCAGGCGCCACAAGGCACCGATGTCTTTGTCTTTCCCTAACCACACAGTCTTCGCGCGAGGGCAGCTCTGTGCAGCACCCTCCTTCGCACCTTCCCCCACACCTCGGGGGGCTGCGTGCCCTGGCAGCCCCGATTCTCGCTGCCCACAAACCTGCCCTCGCAGCGCGCTGGAAACCCAGATTCAAGCGCTGCCCTCCGCGATTAGGAAGTCCCCCAGAGCTGCCCGCCAGGCAAGTTCCCGCCTTACACACTCTCCCCGAACGAAGGCTTCCCAAAGGCAGGGAGGGAAAACCAACAGCGATTTTTTTTTATTATTATTATTTTTTTATTTATTTAGGGAACCCGCGGGGAGCAGCGGGAGCAGCCGGGGCGCGCTCGCGCCACCCGCCGCCCGCCGCTTCCGGGAGCCCCGGCGCACACGCGGCCCGGGCAGCGCGGCCCAAACCCCCCCGGGGCGCCGCCTCCCCCCGGGCGGCGGGGGCAACACGGACCGGCCCCGCGGGGGTCCCTGGCCACGAGGGAAGAAAGGAAAAAGAAAAAGAAAGAAACCCACACCACGCGCTGCCTTCCAGCAAAGCGCGTGCTAACATCGCTGCCGGGCACGGCTGGGTGAGGGCGGCCGTTACCGGCCGTTACGCGGCCGTTACGGGCCGCCCGCGGCGCGCGGGAAGCGGCGGCCGGGCTGGACAGAGCCAACTTAGACAAAGGGCACTCGAGGCTCCGCGTCTCCCCCCGCCGCAGCTGTCAGCGGCCGGCGGAGCGGGGCGACCCGCGCGCCTCCCCGCCGGGCGCCGAGCACCGGGGCTCCCCGATCCGCCCCCCGGCCCCGCGCCCGCCGCTCCCTCCCGCCCTGCCCGCCGCCTCCCCTCCCCCCATACAAAGGGAGCCGGTCTATAAAGAGCCGCTCCCGGCGCCCGCAGCCCGCGAGGTGTCGCTCGCTCGCTCACCCGTCCCGGCCTCACGCCGCCGTTGCCGCCAGCTCCGCTCCGCTCCGCGCCCTCCGCTCTCTCCGCGCTGCCTCCTCTCCTCTCCCTTCCCCTCCCCTCCGGCCCCGCGGCCGGATTCACCCTCCCGGCGCGAGCGCCAAACGCGGCGGCCCAATGGGCATCGCGCTCATTGGCGAGCGCCGAGCACCGCCTCCATTGGACGGACGCGGCCCGGGCGGCCCGAGCCAATCGGAGGCGGGCGGGGGCGGGACGAGGGGCGGGGCGCTCGCTCCCCACGTGCGGGGGGGGTGGCGGGGGGGCAGCTCTTTGTTCTCGCGCTGCTCGCGCCGGGGGGGTTCCCTGTCCCCGCGCCCCCCGCGCCCCCGTCCCCGCGCCCGGAAACTCCCGGCCGCTTCGCGTGGACGAACGGGAGCGAGGGAAGGAAGGAAGGAGGGAGGGAGGGAGCGCGGCGAGGGGCGGCGCGGCGCTGCCCGGCGCTGCCGAGTTTGAATCAGTTCGAAAGTGGGAGCCGTGTAACGGTTTTAACCGTCGCGCCGCGGCGCGCGCGGGAGGCGGCAGCCCTGAGGGAGAGGCGGGGAGGGAAGCAGGGAGGGAGGGAGCGGGGGAAGGAGCGCGCTGCGAGGCCGCGGCGGCTCCGCGCCCGCTGCTGCCCCGGCGGGCAGGGCCGCCGCGCGCGGGGAAGGGGCCGGGCCGGGGCCGAGGGCGGCGAGTTGCGGGGTGCCCCTGGGCCCCGGTCATCGCTCTGCCCAGCCCTCACAGCGCTGCAGCCCGGGGGCGCTCCGTGATAAATCACGGCAAGAGCGGGTTGTCCACGGGAAGCCGGGGTCGGGGCGCCCCTCACGCCCTGCCTGCAGCCGCTTCTGCTGCCATCGCTTCCCTCATGTACGGGCAACACGGGGTCCGGGCTCCTGCTCCCGTGTCGTGCAGGACACAGGCTCTGTCCAGCCCTGCTCTTCTACCTTCACGCTCTTTGCTCCATTTCTCACCTCGCTCATCGTTAAAAAAACACAAAGAAAACTTTGCATATACAATGCACCGCTTCACTTTCCCTTGTGACCGCATCCCTCTCCCTTGGGCCTTTGGAAAACAGTACAAGCACAGCCTTGGTCTTGCAGCATGCAAGTCCAAGGAGGCTCCATGGTGTTCTCCTTAAAGCGGTGTATTTGTGTGATTTTACATTTTCCATGTTCCAGTGTGTAACTACTTGAAATTGCTCCACTTCATCACCCACAAAGCTTGCAACGAAACCTAAAGACTTGGCCTTCCGATGCTGAACGTTCCCTATTTACCTACCAGCCTCAGCAAGAGATGTCTCCTAATGGCTTATTTTTACTGTAATACCTCTATTATTTATAAATTCGGATGGTGCAACCTAAAATTCTTTCATGTCATAGTTACACATTAGCGTGACAGAAGGCCTCACCCTTCTTCTAATTCAGTGAGGTGGGTTCTGATTTCAGCGATTTTATTAAAATCGTCATACTGGCAAAACATTAGTCATTTCCGGAAACGGAGCTGTTTAAGTCTATTTTGCCCCAAGATGGCTGTCACCACCAAAATGGCTACCCAGCACTTCACCAGTTAGGATATAGACTTTATTCGGATGGCTGGAATTGCACTTTATGAGTTTTGTTTGTAGGCAGAAAATATAAGTAAGCATTTTTAAATAAGCTTAATAGCAACAATGTAAGTAGTGTAATTACTCACATGCAGGAAAAAATGGTATTTTATAACCCACACTGTGAGCTAAACCTCGTTTGAAATAGCTCCTTTTTTTTTTCTCCTGTCTTGCACAGAGAGTTACTCATCTTTTATAAAATAAACTAATACTTACAAGAAAATAAAACATGTTTTTAGTTTGTTTTATTTTGCATTACAGGAAAACAGTCTTCACACTTGGACTCCTTTTGGGGTTCTTAAAGAGTCGAATCTCCTTCGAGAGGAACTCCTTAAAAACAGATTTTCTGATCAGTCATTCAGCCTGTTTCAAACAACCAGGAGAATTTGGACAGCTGTTTTTTTTCTGCACGCAGGGGTTTAGTGTTGCAGCAAGCTCCGTATAGGTGTTCTGCTCTCACAGAGTGAACCACCCAAGTGACTTTCTGTTTCTGCTGCCTTTTTATGATTAAGCATCGTCTGTTAGAACAAGGACCAGCTTTATGATGAGACATTTAGACTAGATCTTTAGACAAGATAAATAATACAGAATTTTCTGAAAGAAAGATCTGGTTTTTTGAAGAGTTGTTCTGAAAAGAGTGTATTCTGATGGCAGGGTATAAAAATAGTACTTGGGGGGAAAATGTTAATTTTGAAGAAATATTTATATGTGTTAAGTGACAATGAAGTTAATATCAAGCTCAGGAAAAAAGTATCAGATTTGGGTTGAACCCTTCTGAACTGCTGAAAACTTTGGTCTTTTCTATAGATTACACATTACAAAAGAGTCATTTCTGTGTTCCGAAGAACAGTTCCCAGTTCCCAGTCCTGTAACCACACAGTAAAAGTGAGTACATACCCTTTATAGAAATACTTAACTTATTGATGCATTATTATTTAAAAAGCATCTCATTAATTAGGTTAACTTTTAAATAACACTCTAAGGAATATGTGTTTTGTAACAAGCAGTTTTAAGATCAAGTTTGTTTTAAAATGTTTTTCCATCAGTAGCTTTGTGGTACTTAGGGACCAGTTTCCCTGAAGGAAATGCAGCCTCATGTCCTGTTTCACAAATTGCACCCGACTTCTGGTTTTCCGTTCACCGCTTGCATCTCTGCAGAGCTGCATGAAATGGTCAGACCACCCGCCCGCATCGTTGGGCACACTGGCCATTGCACTGGATTAGGAGAATAAGTCTCAGGACTAAAACATAAGATGAACACGCTGAACCAGCTGTCTGTGCTGGTGACTGCTCGGCACAGAGCTGCAGCTGGGGGTATATACCTCCAGAAGAAGCCCTAAATTCAAATAAACTCAAGTAATCTCTAGTTGTAGAAATTATTCCTGTTGCAGACTCCTTTGCTCTCATGCGGCCGACTGTGCGGTGTTCATCTGACTTGATGCAGTTGTTGTGGGACCCAGGAGCTGCAAACTCACGTGTGGGGCCAAAACAACATTGAGAGAAATACAGTCAATGAGCGCAAGAAAGTAGACTGGGTGTGAAAGACAATGTACAGCACTAGGTATGTTGCTCAGCAGATTAGGAAGATGGGTTGAAGTGCCCTTACACCAGATTCCCGTGCCATACAGAGGACTCTCTGCGTCTGATGCCATGAATGATCAAACGCCCACAGCTGGTTTCTAGGTCTGCCAAAGCATCAGTTTTTCCCTAAACAAACTAAATCCACCTGACCTTTCACTGAATGCTTGTCTCGTATATCCTAATATAGGTATGTAATACATTTATACAGAGCGTTATGTTATGTTATGTTATGTTATGTTATGTTATGTTATGTTATGTTATGTTATGTTATACAGAGCGCTCATGCTTTCGACATACGGGGCAGTCTCAGCTCTGCCATACTGCATTCAAGGAGATTTTTAACTGCAACACACTCTATTTCAGGGATGAGAATGCATGACAAAGGTGGAGTGACACACACTCAAAATGTGCCACCTTATTATAATTGTTAGTATCTTTTTGACTAAGAAAAAATGTGCTGAGAGGAAAACTCACTGTTATTGCTTTTAGAATCTCTTTTTGTTTGTTTATAATGGAAGGAACAGAACTGCTTTCCTATTAACTTATTTTTACATGCAGAGATAAAAGTCTGCTGCATGAGATCATCCGTTTCAATTTGTGAGAGGGATTAATTGTCTCCCATTGATTTCGATTAGAATTAATATGACTTTAAAAATCTATATGTAATGGTTTCACTTTAAAGAATTTATTTGTGTTTAATTTGTGGTCACAGAGGCCGCTTAAACTGTGTAAGAAAAATAACTTCCCATCCTTGTGTGCTTATTCTTCACCTTTCTTACTACTTTTATTTACCTAAGTGTGTATTTACTGATGCATTCAAAACATTTTAAGGACCACGTGGCCTTAACCAAACCACCATGAAAGCATATGGTCAAGAACTTGAATTCCAGCATTCCAAATTCCAGAAAGGTTCCTCTTTTCCAGGCATATTCAACTATAGAGCTATATGGTAGTGTTGGGTGTTCTATTCACATGGAAGAATTTTCCTCCTACCAAAAAGCTGCAAATTTGAAAGCTTCAAATGGGCGTTCAGTAAGAGTTGATAGATGGTCTTCCTCTGGGCCAAATCCTGATTACAAACCCAAATGTTCCAAGAGATGTTTAGAGAGAAATATTTAGAGAGCCCGAGCTCTCTAAATGTTCTGTTTCTGAGGTGTTAAGTTTCTTCCATGGCGGTGACTAACTTACCCTAACAGATGCACAAAGTTCATTGACAGAATCAGATGTTCTCATTTGGCTGTGCAAGTAATTCTTCACATTGCTAAGCACAGCGTGCCTGTAATGATAGTTCAGGTCATTTGCAAAGGTAGACATAAGTGCTGAATCTCTTCTGTGCATCATTTCGCCCCCTTCTCCGATGTGTTTCTACCAACAGTACAGTGACTGCCTTCCCATCTGCGTGTGAACTTGTCGTGCCCATGCCTCCATTTTCAGCATCATTTACCCCTTCTCAGCCTCTGATTTTTATCATTTTCTTGGTTTTGACTTTTTACTTGGAAGGGTGTGGTCCTATCCTGTATTTGTTTAATCCTGACATCTAAAACAGTGCAATACTTGCTATCGTACTGACCCACACAGCTTTTTAATGACATAATCATGCATATTATGTTGTATATGCACAAGGACTCATAACCTCAAAATTGGTAAATTCATAAAGCTAAAAATAAAAATATTGTTTGTCAACATAGATTTGTTTAAACTGATTAAATATTGCATTTACAGGGGAAGTCCAAGATTTTCTACACCTTAAAAATAGACGTGATAATCTCTTAGCTCTTGCCAGGAGTAGTAAATTATGTTGTCAGAAAAGTCTTTTTAGGGAGATGTGTGATAAAGGCTTTGAACAGTAAGTAAAAGCTGATTCTACATATCCATTCAACAAATACATTCTGTCTATATGAGTCATAATAAATAAGATATGCTTTGGGAGGTATATAAAGCAGATGGTTAAAAAAAAAGAGAATTAAAATTTAAGAAAGGATTACGCAGATGCATTTCTTGTGGTGGCTTTGTATGGATAGGTTTACTTCCTAGCTGTTAAGAATTTGCAGTTATTTGGCAGTCTTTCTGACAGATACATGATCTCACACATATCTCTCCAGATCCAAATTGTAAAAACAAAAGCCGCCCAAGTGCTCTGAGAAAACTGAGAAAATAATGTTCCATTCCTAACATCATTTTAGGTGTTACCAGAATATGCTGGTCAAACAGGCAATGGGAAAAAAAAAATCACTAATTTGAATTTGTATCGAACTTGCATTACAGAATAAAAAAGGCCTTTGATCTTATGCATCACTTTCCTCTCTGATGCCTTCACGCTGGATACAAAACATAGAGTTAAGGGAAATTAAGGGACGTTTAAGTGCCCAATTACAGGTGCTGAATTGCAGCCAAGAAAATATTGAAATAAGTGAGTGTCTGCACAGGCTGATGCTGAGAAACAATTGCAGATAGCTATGTAAGTGGTGAAAACTCGTCTTTAATTCGTATGCAACAGGCCACGTTTTGCTCTTAATAACAATCATTATAAAACAACAACAGCAGAACCTCATTTTTCGCCAGCAAAGCAAGAAGCCAGCAAAGTAAGAGGGAGAAATAGAGACGTCCAGACAAGGCCTGTGCAGCCCCACAGCTCTTCTGAAGACCTGAAAATATGAAAACATTTCCACGCCACGCTGACAGTTCATTCCATGTCCGCCCAGCTGAGGGTGAGCCTCTGGTTTTCTCAATCTGTGTGACTCTTAAGAGAATCTTACCTGGCGCCGTTCCTGCTTCTCGCTGGGAAAGTGAGATCAGGCTCTAAGCCCACAAGTATGAGGGGCTGAGTCAACGGAGTGAATGAAACAGTGACTAACTCATTATGTGAATGAGTGAGCACGTCCTTGTTTGCTTTTGTGATCATTTCTATGCATGAGTGAGTGGCAGGGCAATTACATGTGTGTGAATGAGCGGGGTCAGGGTTGCTGAATAATCCATATATTTGTGTGGTCTTTCCGTCTTTTGATCAGACTAACGAGCCAAGTGCTTGGCATATCAATATATGCAAACCAGAGAGAAGATCGTCACGTAGCTTGGAGACAAATTAAAAATAAGAAGGCTAGTGTGCCAGGGTCTGCTCTCAGTCACACATGTGTAACTAGATCGGGAAATGAGTTGCTTGGGTCTAGGCCATTGAGTAGTGCTGCTCGTCGGTGGCAGGAAGCTGAGGGGGGACAGAGTTGTTTTCTCCAAGATTAGTATTATCGGTGACATTACCAAATCAATCTCTAGTTTACGGCAGATCTAATTGTGAAATATAAAGTGAAGAATTGTTGGACAATGAAATGATTTTCTGTCTTATTAATCTTCCATAAATGAACAGGGCTTTCCTTATGTCAGCTCTTTCATTTCCAATGTACTTAGCAAGGCTAGCAGTAAATTTGGCACCCCAAAAGCTCACGCCTTCATCTAGCCTAGACAAAGGCAGAATAAAACCTTGTTCTATTATATCATATATAAATCATGTCCTACTGTTGGATTTAATTTCTTAGCTGCATACGACTAAGTGAATAAGAGTCAATGCTGTGCTTCTAAAATCCAATCAAACTGTAGGTATAATGAATATAAGTGGACATGGACATAAAGAAATAATCTAGATTCATGCAAAACTTCAGTCTTTTTCCTCCTAAGGAAATTCTTTTTTTTTTTTTCCTTTCACTTTTTCCCTTTTTTTTTTTTTTTTTTTTTCCCCTCAAAGGCCCACGGGCCCTTATGACTCTACCCTTTTTCTAAAAAAATAATCCCACTATAACTTCCAGTAGTAGCGGAAGTAGGAAGAAAATAAATGTAAAACATTAGTAATTACCAGCTTTTTGCCACCTCTGATGTCTTGACCTGAGCTGGGGAATGCTTTTAATTATTGTAAATTATACTGAATCTGAAAATCAAGGTTATGGGAAACATATGTTTCCCATAATTTCCCCAAATAATTAATTCTGCATTTTTCTCTCAGATTTCTTCTCCTGTGAAGGCTGATCCTTCCAGTAGAAGACATTTCCTGATCCTAAGCCAAAATCTGCCCTCTCATCTGCACCGTGCTATCTCACAATGTTTCAGTAAATCGAGCAGCTGGCAGTACATTTTTCATGTATCTTATGATCTGACAACATTTTGCCATTCTTTAAAAAGCAGGAATCCTCAGCTTTGTGCATCCTTCAGGTTTGGGATGGCAGTCCTCCAAAGAAGGACATGATTTGGCAAACAAACTGTGATTTAGCAAAACGCTGAAATTCTGCATATGCTGCCATCTTTCTAAGTGCGTTTGGTCTAGATTTGGTTGCCTTGAGCTCTGTGGCTTGCTTTTAAAGAGAATAACATTTTTTTTTCATCTTTTGCAGGTTTATGTAGCTGCAAGAGCCGTCTGACTTTATGAGCAAAATTAATCACTGATATATGTGAAAAACAACATTGAAATTCAAATTTTGTCACTTATGCTCAGATCTAGGTTACCTAAATATGTTTGAACTACAAATTCTGTGGCATAAGTAGGTTGGGAATCCATTCAGGTCCAATGACAAAAGGGTTCAGATCTAGGAATAAGCACGCTGACTGTTATTGAACGAGGTTTCTACTTTTTTTTTTTTTTTTTTTTAATTAGATTTGTCGGTCCATGTCTTAAACCAATAGCTAAATAACAAAAATCTTCTGTTTTTTTTTTTTTTTTTCCTTAAATGAAGCCATGTGCTCCTATCTACTCCTTGTGTTAGCAGCTGTTGTATTAAGAGCTGACAATTGCCCAATAACCTTTCGTGACACTAAGTCCCTATACACAGATTCCAAGTACCGTTACTGGATAGGAAAGGCTTGACAACATTACGGTGATACAGACTGTTTCAGAGCTGAGCTTTTCTAGGTCACTTTGGTCTTAATTCCTGGTACTAACTGTTGGGAGCTTGAAGTGCGAAGCATGTGATACAGGGGCAAGGAAACAGGATTTACATGTAGCTCCTCCTGTGATTTGCTCTGATTTTTGGCAGCTACACTTCTGTGTGCCTATTTCTCACATTTTCAGAATGAGGATAAGATTAGTGAATGTTTATAACTACTTTTTAATGCCCAGGGAAGAGGTGACTTTAACATCACAAAGTGATGACACTCTGTATAAGAGTGTGTCTAATACTGCACTTTTGTGAATTTTTAGGATTGTTTTTGATGAAAGATGTTGGTATGGGGAGACTTGAATGCAGTTTTAAACTACAATGCCAGGAGGAGTTAAATAATGTAGGAGTTAAATAATGCCATATTTGTTCTGGGTGGCCAAATACATGGCGAGAGAAACCTTGCCCACAGCTGCATCAGCTTTTCAGATAAGAGAGGGCAGCGTGCCATGTCGGTTACACTGTACAGCGAGCAGATGCTTGTCTGCATGCAGTTCTTGCAGACCTTCATAAGGTCACGTTCTGGCCATGGCTTGACATTGGCTGTGGATCTTGGAGCTTGCTTAAGTGCATCCACTGCATGCAGCTCTCACATTGCAACCCATTTCTTAAACTAGACCAGTAGACAAAAACAAATCAAAGTGTGAGTGATCCATTCTGTATTTGAACTTTCACCTTGTTTGCACAAGCACAGGACTGCTCTGGTGTGTAGGATTGTTAGGGAGAACGGACACTGCAAGCGTGGCACTTTCAAACCTTTCTAGCCCTTGCGTCCTGTAGCTGGTTCAGAATTCTCCTCGCTCTTCCTCATAGCAGGTAGATCACACACAGATGCTTCCCACCTCATTTACTGCTCCACGGTGCCTTCTTGGCATGGTGAGTCTCACAGATGGAAACAGACACATTAGTGTGAGCATGGAGAGGATCAATAATGCAGAAGTGCTGCCATTTGACAGCTGCTCATTGTCGTATATTGTGACTATCTGAATCTATTTCACCAGCTCAAGCTTTTTTGCTCCCATTTCCCATCCATAGACCCAGAGGCCCAGAAAACTGCTGAGCTCTTATTCTAGAACATTTATACAGTGATGGGTGTTCAGCTCAAGGAGCTTTAGGTTCATGCTTTGAGTAAATTTAACATATTCTCAGAGCTTTCTGAAAAATACATAAGGTGGAATAGAAACTTTATTCATCCTGAAACTCCGATTATGCCTGAAAGACAGCAGCAATTCAGAGATCTGAGCTGTAGAGATGAGAAACACATAATAATCCCAGTGTGCCTTCTCCAGCCTAGAGAAAATCCTGCATCCAATGCCTGAAATGAACTTTGTCAAACTCCATAAACGTAAGGCTTTGTGTACTTATACTCTCTCTCCTCCTCATTCCCTCACTTTTAGAAAAGTTTAGGGAACCAAAGGCAAAAATAAACAAAACCCTACCTTCATACGCACATACAGTTACCTGTTAGAATGTAAGAAGTCAAGAATATAAGAGTTAATGTTCTTATGTCAACTGTCCTGGACTGAATGGAGACAGTCTTTGCTCTTCATGTTTTCTGTGCTAGGTTTATTCAGGTTTATGGCCCTTATTTCAAACTCCAGATGCTTCACATGGAACTGAATTGACCACATTTGTTTGGAAAAATAAAATCAGATCCTTGCATAGTAATAAAATACAACTCAATGATAAAATTAACTCAATGCATTCGTTGCTACATTTGTGTTGATTAGTGTATAGTATGAAATAAACCAGATGTACTTTGCGGCTAAATTAATACTGCTGGGGGAGCTTTATGTTTGCATTTTGTGGTTGCTAGCATCCTGCATTAATGAATTCCAGAATGATTCCACGCTGTGGGATTTTTTTTTCTTTTTTTTCAATTATCATCTCCTCAGTACAATCTTAGGTGAACAACCAGAAAGCTGCTAACCAAGAGACAACACCCAGCACCTTTTTCCTGCAGAGTCTTTTAAGTTTATACCTTTCTAAGGACTGCTGAAAGATCTGTATTCATTAACAGCATTCTGTTCTTCACTAAACAATGTGTAATATTTGATCATTTATTACCTTAAAAACTTTTCATATAAAGTAAAACATAAATAAAAATTTAGGACCAGAGTTAAGTGGTTAATAATCTTAATTAATTAATAATAAATAGTCAGTTTTATAGTATGATTGATCACTAATATTTTTTACTCTGCTGAATACGTGGAGTTTGTCTTAAACTAGTTTTATCCAGTATAGTTTTATCATAAGATCTTTAGAGAAGTTTACCTGTTTTTTTTTTATTATTTTTATTTTTTTAAGTTGGTTGGTTAGTTGGTTTCTTTTTTTTAAGGAAGAGGTATCTGAACATTTATTATTTACTATTATTCTTCTGTATTTGATACTCAATTTTAAATTTGACTGGAACAACCAATAAAAGTAACAGGCACAGAAATTCCCTGATTCTATTAGAACAGAGTACTTCTGCCCCCAAAATCTAATTAAAGTCATTTTTTTCTAGTTAAAGTCATTTTTTAAGTTAAGTTTGCCAAGAAACACATAATTGTTATCTGTTTAGTAGCAACAGTCTAATACATTTGAACTGGATTTTTAAATGAGCTTACAAATAAAGATGCCTTGAAAATGTGAACATTTCAAATTAGCTGCTAGACCCAAACTTCTTGCACAAGTCTGCAGTATGTGTTGGGTGAAGAAAAGCAGCCTGCACAGGCAAGCAAAGGCACCTACAGTAGCAGTTACTTGTTCATCCAGTGTTCGTTGTCCATAGCCAGTGGAAGTAAAGCAAAAATGTTTTTGAATCCTGACCCTTTCCCATGGGATTCATAATGTAATCATTTGAACAAGAGCACTTTATTTTCCATTGCTGCATCGTATTATAGTTTCTGAGACTTCAGCTAGCTGTATGTTTGTGGATATGACAAAGAGGGTGTTGTGTAAAGCAGTCAAGGCGTTCTTGAGTAACGAGCCAAAAGCATCCTGTGGAATACACCCTATAGGAAATACCAGTTAGCAAGACTTTGTCATGCTTGGTTTCCAACATCTGACCCTTTCTAAAATTTGTCTTCCCCGGGGAAAAACATCCAGTATTCACATTTATTTATTTATTTATTAAATGAAAAATAGAACCTGTGTATGCACTATACATTGAATGGAAGGAAAGGGATCAGAAAATGCTTTTGTCCCTTTTGTTGAGTTTCCTAAATTTGGCAAGTAATCTCTTTGTCACATCAGTAGAGTCTACCTAAATCTAAATAATGTTCAGACTTAGTGCCAGAACCATACAAAATAAATAATATATGCATAATACTAAGTATTAAGATAAAAATTTAAAAAAATCTTTCTTTTAAAAATCTTTTTTTGGGGGATAATATTTTTATATTTTATATATAATTTAATATGTTTTTATAATAAAAAACTTTAAAAAAGCAGAAGAGGAATGAGAAACTTAAGCTTTGCAAAATTTCAGCCAAGACAAATTGTACTAGGCCTTTTTTTTTTCCCTTATGTATAAAATACAGTAGGATCTTCTCTATTTCTTTCCCTAGCGCTGTAATCTTTCAACAGGGGCTACACAAAGATGAGCAGACATTTAAGATGGCAACCTTCTCTTCCAGCAAGCAGCTGTTGAACCCAGTTCATTTTTGGAGCACCAGTTTGTAAGTGATATCTCCTCGAATAGACTTTCCACCCAGATGAACGGACCCATGTTCATGTTGCTGCTGAATTAGTCCGATCCCACAAGCACAGCAGGATGGAGGACACCAAATCCACTGTAAGGTTGGAGTAGCTCAACCAGAGAATAACTGACCTGGCACACGAGCTGCCGGGACCACATTCTTCAGCAGAGACTGGGAACGTGTTTGGACCAGCAGAGAGATTTTGTTCTGGGTCAGTATTTTGCGCTGTGCTTTCCACTCAGGGCTGAAGTAAGTGGTAAATTCAATGACACTATGATACTAGGAAATCACAGACTGACTTTAAGCAGCTCATTTTATATTGTATACAGCAGTGAGATGTGGTCATATGAAGAGCTAAAATGATCAATTATTAAAATATACACCAAAATATTAACACTGCAAATAACCTAAAATAATGTGTGCTTCCTTCCTGAATGTAAATAACTTTTCCTTAAGCATCGGTATCTTTTATTTTACTATTAATAGAAATAATTTTCATCTATACATGAGAGGAGACAATTTATTTTGAAATATAGGCTGTTTTAATCATATTCATTTCATTCCATCCAAGTGCTTCAGAGGTTTATTGGCTATGTAGTATGTAATATCTATACCTCTTATAAATCTATACTCATTTAGGGTTTTTTGACTGGTCTCAATGAACTCTTCCAATTTCTTGAAGAAAAGTTTTTCACTGATATTTATCAATGGATAAAGTTGCTGTCTAAGAGAGCAACTTCAGTTCTTGCCAAGTGCACTTGAATTGTTGAATTTATTTCTTGGTGGGATTAGCATTTATGTCTAACTCAAACACAAAAACACATTGTGTTGCGCCTTGGGAATAGGAGAGAATAGCATCTATGATTAAAAAGAAATAAATGGTACAGATACCAATCTGATCTAAAGCTCTGGGATTTATTTTGAAAATTATGATTTTTCCAGATGACCTTACGTGACACTCTCACAGACAACTTAATTCTATATTTAATAAGGATGATATAGCATTATACTTTTATTGT